CATTAAGAAGCAATTCATTTAATTGAAATCGCTCTGATTTTGACTTGACGCATATTATACGGCAGGACGTTGTTTTAATAATGGATTCTTTCCTGGATGTCACAGCTTGAAAAGCACACACTAAATTTCCAACTTTTGATATGATGTTTCCGGACATGGGGCATGATGGGCAAGTGGGTACTTTATACCCAAATCATCTGGTCGTGAACAAGACTGCAACTCTGGTTGATTTCAACATTTTAAGGCAACCAAGAATGCAAAACCAATATATAAAATGAATAAATTAAAGTGAGAAATTAATATTTTTTTACCTCCACTTCTCATAATATATGCATAACAAAGACTACGCTACAACATCATTTTATTTGCTCTGTTTTTTACCCCCAAAACAGAGACACACAGAGTGGCATATGGTTGGACATTATGAGATTTATTAGTCTACACAGAGACTGGTGCCTCGATTGATTTTCTGGTTATTATTCTGACAAAGCATTATATTTTCTGGTTTTATAGTTACAGCTATTATGGTAGTATGAGAGAAGATCTCACACAGCGGTATGTTCTGCTGTTTATCTCTTTTGAGTTTGTCAACTAGCAATTGTAATTTTTTTTCAAAACATAATTAAATCCATTATTAAAATAATAAAATATTATGCTTTTTTCCAACTAAATAAAATATTATATATCAAATAAAAAAATTTTGTGAGAATTAATCTTCATTCAACAAATTCATCAATGAAATTAATTACGCGTTTTCTTTGCTTACTGCTTTTTTTTTTTCAAAAAAAAGTCGAAGCTCTTATCCTCACAAAAGGGATCAATTATGTCCAGCCCACGAATGTGTGGACAAAAAATGTTGAGGGCTAAATCACTCTTTTGAGCTTATGAAAAGGTTTTGAATTTATGAGCCCAATCTATTCTATTCTATTTTATTTTTTAAATTTGGAAGAGGAAGAAAGAGAAAAGTTAAAGTTGAAGCCATGGGCAAAGGATGCGTTCATGGACGAAATTGAGCAGGCATTATAGATTGTCTAAAGAACTAAACAAATCTGATTTCGATCCATGAATATGGTTAAGGAATTATTTTCGCATATGCAGAGATGTGTGATAAGTTATGAAATAATCATAATTTTGAGTTCATAATTAATCTGTATATATAGGGGCGTTTGGATTTTTTTTTAATAAGAAAATCATGCTTTTCTCTTCTTTTCATTCGTGCTTTTGTTCCTTTTCAATCCTTTTTCTCAATTATAACCAAAATCAATCTTATCAATCAATTGTAACAAAAGTTGTTCTCAAAAAACCATCCTCACAAGCAAATATGAACAAAATAAATCAAAACAGTAAAAAATTGACACGAGAATTATTAACTTTATGACTCTGAGTAAACCAGTCATCAATAAGAGGGACATAATCCACGTGTGGTTGTGCCAATGAAGGTAACTAGTAGTATTATTCTGCATCAATATTTTCCTTCTAATGATTGAATTATACTGCCCCTAGTCTTAATATAAAATTTCAATTTTATTTTGTTTTTATATTTATTTATTTTTTATTAAAGTAGTCTTTACAGTGATTACACATCTTAAAGAGTTCTTATTCTAATGTACATGATCAACAGAGATATTTTAAGAAAGACAATACCTATTTAGTATAAATAACTACTTAACTAATTTTTTAAATATTTATAAATTTGTTATCTAACTTTTTTTTCTTTATATGTCTAGCTCTTATATTAAAAAAAAAAAAGTAGTATAATAGCAGTTGTGACTGCATTGTTAGCTGGGAAAGACGTATACTGCTGTTTACATGGAGTTTGTTGAGTAGCGTTGGTGGATAAATTACGAATTTAAAATTGTGACACGCTTTTGAAAATGCATATAAAAAGGAATATAATAAATACACCCAACATCCACTAGAAAAAATAAAAATTTAAAACAAAGAGGATAAAGTAACATCCCATGTTATGATGTTATCTTCCAATTGCTTTTTGCATCTAGTGGGAATTAGCAATGATGATGCTCAGCGCTACAAAATTTTTGTGCTCTGTCCTCACAGCCCGCTCAGCACTGAAATGCGTTTTGTATTTAGCATTTTAACTTTATTTATATTATAATGCATTTAGTATTTTAATATTATGTTTTCAGCACTTCAACACTCACCGAGTTGTGTTTAATATCCTAGTTTTATTTCTAGTATAATTTATTTATTTATAATACATTTAACATCTCAAATCATAACTAAAATTATAATATTAGATGTAACTAGAAAATAATATTAGGCATGACTTCTGATGACATAAAAATAAATAATTATATTGACACTGTTCACATACTGCCGGTGTTTTTAAATTGGATGGGGCCTCGAGAGCATCCAACTGCGAGAGAACGCTTTCAATTCATAGCTGCAAACGTCCATGGGTCCCACGAGCATTTCTCTCAAATAATTAAGTCACTATATAAAGACTTAATTCCAAATTAATTCAAAAGCAGCAATTACCGACCTCCCTAACACAGTTAACAGAGAAGATGAATGCAGAAACCGTACGACGGTCACTACAACATGCAGCATTGTTTACGGCGAAACTAGTGAACTCGGTGTCGTCGGCAAAAGTGAGAATCAGGACTGGCTCTTCAAGGCTGACAGGCTTAAAAGGGTAGGCCTTTCAGGATTGAAATTTTAAAAATATCCCAATTTGTTGGGTCCAGTCCTTAAGCTATAGGGCTCAGTGCTGGTCTGTGGGCTTTTGGCTCATTTAAGAGAAAAAAATACTATTTTTTATAAAAAATAAAAATAAACCAATGAAATTATTAATAAAAGACATAAATATGAATAAAATTAAGTCATAAATATAAAATATCATCATATATAAATATCCATTAATATTTAAGAACATCTAAAACATTCATTAACAAAATAACAACATCCAAAAGTTTTATCTATAGTGCAATTGTCTAATAAATAAATACTATCATTAATCTTTTAAAACTTTATCATCACTATAATTAATTACTCTTCTTTATAAGTATACTTTTCTTTCGTAACGAAAATATCAAGTTTTTCTTCTTTATAGGAACTAGCATATAAACCCCTGTGCGATGCACGGGAAGTGTTCACTTCAATCAATATAATCAACAATATTAATTTATCACAAAAATATCAACAAATTATAACACATTTCTATATATAAATAACGATATTGAAATTACCTCCTCCATTTATAAGCAGTACATGCTATAACAACTGTAACTTTGTCACAAGCCAATTAATTATATAATACTATTTAGTTTAAAATTTTCCACATTATTATGATTTCTAATTTAAATATATTTTATTTATTAAATATAACTTTTTCCTATGATAATAATTTAAAATTATTATATTTGGTAAATTCATAATTTTTAATCATTTTTCATTGCTCAATAAAAGTCATACCTATTTACACAAATTTGGAATGGCATTTTAAATTGCATTTTTATGCAAAAGTTTAACATTTATTTGCTTGTAAGTTTTTTAGCATTTTCATGAAAAGCAAATTAGTCTTGCACATAGGATGGCATGCTATGTACAAAGCCAGAGACAACATTTTCTTATGAAAGAACCTGTAAAAACTTGTTTTTCCTTTTTTCTCCCAATCATTATTGTGGTTCCCCAAAAGGATGTCATGAAGGCAACAAAATATAGCCCAATGGTCAAAGACGCTGTACACAATTCAACCTACCAAATGCTTCCAAACTCACTTTATTCATGTCTTTAATGTGACGTGATTCTCTTTTGCAAAGCTTTTGAAGGGATTCTTTCAAGACAATACCATGGTTATTGCTGCCAATGGTTCCTTGATATAAATATGAATATACTTTATGAGCCTATGTATAATCAAGGAGACCCAACGACCTTACTATTTTAACTACTTTCATGCTTCATACTTTTGGATCTCCTTTTTCTTCTCTCTTCCTGATACCTATTTGAAGAAGATCAATAGACTCAATGCTTCAGTCACCTAAACTTGACTCCAATATAAAGGAAACAATGCCTTGGCCTGATCTTGGACATAAACATTTATTCAAAGAGGCAACTTAGGAAATTCCAGTAGAAGTGTGTCTGTCTATGTGGTCATGTTTGCAAATATAAAGACTCTGGGAAACAACATCAAATATGCCCCTGCAGCACCAGCATTGCAAGAACATCCAAAACTCATTCCTTTTGAAAAGTATAGAGCATGCTTCTTTAACATAAATGCACTTATTATTTTTAACTTAAATAATCTGTCCCAAGCGCTTAGATAGATATTCATTATAATACTGAGAACCATGAAAAGACATAATGAGAAATTATATTTTTCCAAAAAAAAAATTGTTGTATCAGTCCATGCATTAAGAATATTGTATCATCATGTTTACTAAAAACTTGGAAATTCTTCCATCTCCACCCCCAACAAATCGATTTCCTCAAGTAGCACTGATCCTGCCAGTTCCAGTCTAACATTTCACAAAGGAGATATTAACTGCAAATTTACATTAGGCCAAAACAACACAAATATGTCCAGAATACAAGAGAATAATAATGCTCACAAAAAGAGCAACAAAATGCCACAAATGAGCTCTGACCTTGGTAACTCTTGGGTCTTTGACATACCACCTCAAACCTTACAGCTCATTAAAAGAGTTTATTAAATGGATTAACCACGTACTCCATTGAGTACCAATTCTCATACTTAGATAATGTACACTATTGGATTCAAAATCCATATTCCATACCGAAATCCTTATATGTTGCAAGAGGTGAGTTTGATTTTGATATTTAGAACACCTCAACAAATTCCAACAAAACACCAAATGGTCTAATTCAAGAACCATGCACTATAGCAAGGATGGGAAGCAAATTAATACTAATCCAATTTGGAGGGAAATAAAAAACAAACACTATGGTAAGGGTGATGTCTCATGTGAGTAAAAAAATACACCACTATTCTTAAATTGAAAGTACGAAGCCCACAAAGGCACTGTTAAAATTGCAGATATTAACAAATTAAATTGTATATACTCTTCGTGACAATTAACATCAAGCCTCCACAAAACAAAATAGCATCCATCATACAATACCAATTAAACCTTCTATGATATTAAACAACACTAGATGAATATCAAGAAGGAAAACAACAAATATGAAAATGCTGATATGAGAGCAGAAAAAGAGTTAACCTTGATCTCTCTTCACCAAAGCAAACTGAATCACCATACCAGTTTTTGCAAGTAAATGTAAGGCTGATGTTCAACCTATAGCTTCACAGCACAATATCCAAGCAAAACACACCTTATTCTATTCTTCCTATATGATAGATGAACTTAGATAGTCTCATAAAAAAATGAAGCAAGACATTGGAAAAAGATAATTGTACCAGAAAAATGCAGAAAACTAATCATACGGGAAGGCAGAATATTAGGGTGAATGCACTATTGAGCCATAATTACCTTTGAACCAAAGACTTTGTTCGTTAAAACATTTGTGTGCCTTCCCGGGGGCCACTAATGAGACTACAAAATGAGAATTAGCCTAGTATTTTTAGGAATAAGTACTGGATCAGCATATGCCACTAAACCTACCCGGCTACCCCACTATAACTTAGACGAGAAAAAGAATTAAAACCCAGTATTTAAAAATAAACAATGGAGGATTTGAATTGACTTTATAGAACATAATATGTAATAGAAACGTAAGCTTTGAGAATGGATGATGAACTAACAATGAAATATATAAACGTTCAGCCTGTTTTGTGAAGAATTTTAAAAACCCTTCGTTTAGCAAGGAAAACCCATTACAGAACAATAAAATAGATTAAAATAAAAAGACAAAATAAAACTGTGAGGAATACTTGAAGAGGATATGTAGAAAGGTGAAAGGATGAAGAAAGCTAGGATTTACCCGCAGGTTCTGCTCCAGAAGCACTCCTTGCTGTTATATGAGAGCGTCCTACCAATATCTATCACCACCCTCACCCAACGGTTGCCGACATCGGAGACCGCAAACTCAAGCTCCCACAACGGTTTTGCAAGAACGATTCACCTGGGAAATTGAGGAGAAGGGGGGGGAATAGGAATGGGAAAAGACAATGGGAAACACGTAAAGGAGAGAGTAAAAAATAAAGAATAGAAAGAAGACGATTTACCAGGCAGAAGAAGCGAAGAAGTCCACATCTGGTGACAATCTGTGAGAACTTGCTAAGAGCATAACTAAAACTAAAATGATGAAAAGATGAAACTCGAAGCAAAAAATGAGGGCAACAAAGAAAAGTATACGACTTATCAAGAGTACAGAAAGCGTGTTGCAGGGAAAAAGCGTGTGGCAGTCAATTTTGGGATCTGTTATAATTAATTTTTTTTCATTTTTCCAAAAGCCAAAAATTTACAAATTTAAAAAAATCTGAAAATTTTACTATATTATAGAGGTAAGCAAAACTATTTATATTACTACGTCAAAAAATATTTATATTATAATATTGTTATATTTTCAAAGATAAAAATTATTATAAACATTAAAATATTTAAATATTGATTTTTTAACAGTATTAAAATTCAAGTAATTTCTGCATCTATTAATTTTTAATTTAAAACTGTTAATATTAATGCCAACTGTAAATATATATGCAGTAATTTTATATTTACTTCTTGTATTTATATCATCATATACATTTCTAATATTAATTTTTATTTGTTATTATACTTTAAAACTTTGGATATAACGTGGGAAGGAAGTCAAAAAAGCATCATAAAGAAATCCTACAGATTTTGAAACCAAAGAAAGAGTGAGAAAGAATTGAAATGGAGGGAACTTGAAATTTTGAAACTCCCATCTGGACACTTTAAAAAAAATACTTGGAAAAAAAATACTACACACAAAATTAAAAATAGGCGCAGCCCAAAACTTAGCCGCTACTATTCCTGAGCTGGTATTGTTCATAGAACAGTATTTTGAGTGAGAAGCCACTATGGAGGTAAAAATGAGCCGGCTTGTACTTGATTTTGATTTAATATTATAGATTGATTTTACTTTTAAATTTTATAATCTAGCTATTATTTTACTTTAATATGAGAAACATTGTTGTTGAAACTCATGAATTTCTAATTCAAATTATAGAATCACATGTTATATAAGTATAAAAATACTCTATTATCAAATAAATATATATATAGTTTAAAAATATCAACGCATATAATATAAATCAAATCATTATTAAAGTCCAAATTAACCCATTTTTTAAAAATTTAATTGGATAAATTATTGTCTAAAACTAAATTTAATTTTAAAATTATAATAATAACTAAATATTTGAAATATTATTAATAATGTAAAAAATTAATAACATTAGAATTATATAAAAAAGTTTTAAAAAAAATTATAAAAAGGCTTAAACGGGTTGGCCTGTAGCCTTCTAGGGTCGGTCCTTTTAAGCCCTCGGCCCTCCAGGGCTTATTTCCCATTTGAAGAGAAAAATATCAAGTCCGGTCTTCATAATTTCAGGGTCTAAATGGGCTAGCCTGACAGACTCGGCTCGTTTTCCCAGCTTTAGTTGTCGCCGCCATGGCCGCCACTGTCGCTGTCACTGTCAGTGGTAGCTGAGCACTAGAGTGCTTATGCTCTTGGCGGCAGCTTGGCTATGGAGCCAAAAATTTGATATTTTTATTTATTTGTTAAAAATAATTTGAATATGAAATGCTTTTTTTCTCTCTTTTTTAAGATAAAATATTGACAAAAAAATTAGGGAGAATTACAATGAGGTCCCATGTAAGAAAAAAATCACAAAACAAGTCCTAGAGGTTGTTATCCTCTATTTTAGAACTTGTTATTACAGGTTAGTTAGGTTGTTATTAGACTTTTTAATAGTTATTTCTCTTGTATAGAATTTATTGTAATTCTCATAAAAAAAATTACGTGAGACGAAGGACAAGATACACCGGAAAAGAAGAAAAAGTTGAAGTAATGGTTGCTTTTATCCAATGAATGTTGCTGCAATGAAATTTTATATCCATCAGTTATAATTAAATTTATCCATTTCTTCTTCACTTGTATGATTGTATCATTCTTTTTCGTCTCTCTTACTTCCATTTTCCACTTTTCCGCAAACAAAACACAGCTACAAATCCTTTTCGATCTCTTTGGCATGGACTATGGAGCTTAGGAGATAAGATCCTTGCTTCTCTTCTTCTTCTTCTTTTTTGAGCACTAATTTTTATGGGTATTGGTTTAATACTTTTTCTCATTTTTTTCCTCTTCTTTCGTCTTTCTTCTTCATTGTTGGTGGCTGCCATTTTGAGAAAAATTCAGATCGGCTGGTTATTACAAAACCCTTCCGAGTTCTAAGCTAACGGCAGTTTCTGGCTCAAAGGCCAGCTCGTAGCAACTCAAAATAGATTAACATTCAGAATGGTTTTTCATATGCGACTCAAACCACCTTCACCTTTGATTGACGGTTGGTCTGGACAGTCTAGTTTAGTCCTGAAAACATTAAAATATATATTATTTTTATCTTTATTATTTGCTAATTGTAGTACAATATTTTGGTTTTTTTTTTCTGTCATTTGTACTTTTTTTTAATGCTTTATTTTTCATTTTGGCCATATTGATTACAAAAGTGAAGAGAGAGGGAATAAGTCAGAGAAAATATACTACTAATTTAAAAAGAGCAAAAATAAAATATTTTATTTATTTAAAGAGAAATTGCAAAAAAAGATCTTGGAATTGCAAAAATGCAGATAGGGTCCCTATCTGCGTTTTTGCAATTCTAAGGCATTTTTTTGTAATTTTTTTTATTTAATGCTCTTAACGGCATGTGAAAAACTTTTACAAACAACAAATTTACAAATAACAAATAAAAAGTATCAGAATGATATGCGTGTCTTGAAATTTTAAGTTTTATACCTAACGTGGATTGTTTAGAACTGATCTCAAAAGTCAAAATTTATATATTTTTAATTTTTAATTTTGTGAAATGATTATTTTATTGATTGTAGAATTTAAAATAAAAATAATATTTCAGTTTTCAGTTTTTATTTTAGAATATTTTTATTATTTAAAAATTATTAATTGCAAATTTTAAGTTTAAATCATGAAAATTGCATTTAGATGGTACAGATTTTGTTATCATAATAAGCACTGAAACTAGGTCTTAAAATAAAGGGCACGAAACAAATAATTTAATCCTTATTTTGCAATTTTGATTTAATTTGTTAACACTAATTACTTAAAATATGCGACCCAAAAGGAAAATATATAACTTTTTTTTTTTTTTTGAATGAAATGGGAATTTCATAAAAGAGCAAATATGTACAAGAAATTACAAGCAGGCATTACAAAAGAAAAGGACTAGCCTAAACGTAGTGCATTACAGATATCCTTCGCTCTAGCAGTATGATCACTAAGAGCGATCACTACATTCACCAGGCGATGGGCTTGAGTATCTTCGTTGCAAAATATCTTACGGTTTCTTGCCTCCCAAAGTTTCCAACATAAGATCCCAAAAAAGACGCACCACAAAGGATTTGTGCTTTTGGGTTTCAGATTCGTTTTTAGCCAAATATCAAAGGGACAGCTGTAAAAGCAACTTCGAATATGGACTGGTATTATAAGATTCCAGCAGGAGGTGGCAAGAGAGCAGCATCTTAAAACATGGTTGATATCTTCCGTGCCTTTGTTGCAGATTTCACACATATCCCTGTTAGTCATATGCCTTCTAAATCTTACACTATTAGTGAGCAATTTATTACTCATTGCAAGCCATAAGAAAGTTCGGACCCGTTGAGCCCCTGGCCATTTCCAAACGAGGTCCCACTGCGGATTGTCATCATTCCAATTGCACATCATAATCGAATCATAACCTGAGGAGACAGTATAGTCTTGCTTAGCTGTGAAGTGCCAGGTACATTTGTCTCTTACCTCAGCCATGCGTGGCACTTGGATACGTGCAATCTGTTGAAGAATGTCACGCGGCAGTAAACACTCAAATTCATTCCATTTCCAGCTTCCATTTGCATCAATGAACTCACCAATTGGCTTGTGCAGCTGATCTTCAGGAATTGGGGTATAGGAGAGATTCTTCAATGGTCCCAAATCTCCCACCCAATGATCCTTCCAAAACCGAGCTTGTTTACCATCACCAACTTCCCATTTTAAACCCATCTCCAAATCTCCCCATAGGTTCATAATGTTTTTCCAGAGATAAGATCCATTCTTCATTTTACTAGTGTTTTGCCCCTGGTGGCTCCATCCATATTTGGCTTTCATAATTCTTACCCAAAGAAGTTCAGGCTGCGATATTAATTTATAGGCGAGCTTTAGCAGAAAAGCTGAGTTCTGGTGTTCAGGGTCTTTAATACCGCAACCACCACATCTTTTTGGTTGACACATGGTTTCCCACTTGATCAAATGGACCCTTTTATGCTGCTCACTAGTGCCCCAAATGAAGTTTTTGATTAGCGATTGGATTCTGGCACAACAGGACTTTGGCAAGCGGGTGGTTTGCATGGCATACATTGGTATTGTGGATAGGACCGACTGCACCAGAGTGATCCGCCCCGCCAATGCTAGAGATTTATTTTTCCAACCTGAAAGTTTTCTCTGAATTTTCTCCTCAAGGTAGTGATAAGTGTCCTGTGTCACTCTCTTATGGAGCAGAGGCACCCCAAGATATTTGCCTAGATCCTCTGTTTTCTGAAATCCCAAAGCTTCACAAACTACATTTGCATCCTGGGCAGAGACATTCTTTGAGAAGTAAAGTCTAGTCTTAGCTTGGCTAATTCTTTGGCCGGATGAAGCACAAAATTCTCCAAGGATCTTGTTAATGGTTTGGAGCTGTTGTGTTTTCGTTGTGCTGAAGAGGATGAGATCATCAGCAAAGAATAGATGAGAGAGGGGTGGGCCTTGTCTACCTAATCTTATGGTTTGCCATCTTCCTTCATCTACGTGCTTGCAGATAGCCTGTGATAGACGCTCCATACAAAGTACGAAAATGTAAGGGGAGAGTGGATCCCCTTGTCTGATGCCTCTCTGTGGTGTAAGAGGGTCCAACGGTTCTCCATTCCAGAGTACTTGCATAGAGGAAGTAAAATATATAACTTTCAATTTTAGACAAACAGAAGGAAAACTTGAGGATAAATTCCTCATTAAAAATTTAATTAGCAAATAAAACATGAGAATTTTGTGCAATTTAATTTCTGGTGTGTAACCTAATTTTTTTAATATGTAATTTATCTTTCTTTGTGTGTAATAATCTTTTCTCGTGTGATGTGCAACTTAATTTTTCTTTATGCAAATAAAATTTTTTTATGTACAAGTCATCTTCTCTATGCACAAACTAATTCCTTAGATCTAAATACTGTTTGTGTAAGTTATTTTTTTTTTATGTACTACCTCCGGTCCTAATTATAAGACCCAGTTGACTAATTTGAGGAGATTAAGGAAGTAAGTTAAGTTAGTTATTTGTAATAAATAAGTGTTGTCATTCCTAAAATATCCTTGCTAATTAAGTGTATTGGCTAGAACTATCATTATTAGAAGGACTATCTTGGAAAAAAAAACATAAATATAAGAGATAAAATGGATTGGGGTCTTATAATTAGGACCAAACAAAAAGTTAAACGGGATCTTCTATTAAGGGCCAGAGTTAGTAATTTATTTTTCTTTATATGTAACTAAATTTTTTTATATAACCAATTATGTTAAATCTCAATCCACATGGAAAAACCGAAAAAGAGGCGGAGGCTGCACCAGTCGCTTCGTGCTTCTTATGCTCTGGAAAGGGCACGTGATCCGCCCCTCTGATCATGTGATCTGACTTCGCCTTCTGTTCTGGGCAGCAACCGCCAACCGGGGCAGAAGGAACAGCCATAGCCATAGCTGCTTCTATTCGGGTTTCAATCTCCCCCGGGAATTCTTTTCCTCCAATTTGATCTTCGCTTCCTTTCTTCCAATTCTACTCAACTACCTTCAGATACAGAGTTCAAGCACTTCCATGGCTTCTGTCATATGTATATTACCATATTACTTGGCCCGGGCTGCTAAGTTCTTGTTTCCTGGTTTTGCCCCTCAGTTTGAAGCGCTCATGACTGTGTTTGGCTCTCTGGCTGTTGCCGCTCTTGTATCTTTGGCTCTGCAGCTTCCGTGGTGGTCCATTCTCTTTATTCTATTATTCGTGGGAGGCTTCTTTAAGCTGCTCAATAAACTTCATGCAACATATGGCAATAGACGTCGTCCCCGTCCAAGAACGATGCAACCATTCCTACCATTGTATAATGTTATATTCAATCATTAGGGGAGAATATTGATTCAGAAGAATACTAGTTACCTCAATTTAGGTATTTTTCATGTACCTTTTATTTTCCTTCCTTTTTCTTGTCTAATCATAGGCTATTTTACACGTCTTGTAGTATTTGTAATCCAGTTGTTATCCTAGTGGAAAATGCGTCCGATACTTTTTTTTCCCCTTCCAATTCTTGAATTAGGTTTCTCCATGCATGTATTACTGTTCAATTCTGGTCCCATTTTGCTTTATTTGAACTTTTGACGCCATTCTTTTTTTGTATTATCCCCAATCATAGAATGTTATTGGTTTTCAAGGAGCTTCAGGTGGCTTCGTCCCCTTTCTTATCAACGACAACGAAATTACCACCGTTCTCTGGCACAACCAGATGTGGATTATGTCCTTCTGATTGAAGAATGAATTATTCAGAATGAAAAAGTTAATAATTCTCGTGTGAATTTCATACGGTTTTGGTTTACTTTGCTCATATTGCTGGGAGAGGTTCGTCCTCATTGGTTTCTTCTTTTGTGTTTCTTGTAAATTTTAGGTCCTGCGAGCAAAACTTGATGATGGAAGGGGCCTTACCTATGCAGTACCGCTCCTGTAGCTGATGTTATTGTGTATGAAGCCGTAAACTTGCACTTTGCAGAGTAAGTTTTTGGATGAGTTTATTGATTGGGATAAAAACACACACACACACACACACACAGATGGCAAGCAAGACTTTCCAGATTTGTGTTCAAAATGTGCAATGTTCAACTTCTTTGAACTTTCAGATTTCAGAATCATCAATCAATATGGGGAAAGCCTTCTAAATTACTGAAACTTCTCCCTTCATCTATCATCGTCATCAGTTTCAATGTAGAATTTGTTACTCTTCAGTCAAAAAGCTGCCGCTAGCTAGTTACCACTCTGGATGCAATTTGGGAACCCTATAGGATATTGTTGAATTCAAAATTGTTTGAAATCCATTTTGAAATGTGAAGCAACATGATCATATGGAGACCTTATCGCATTTCATACTTCGTAATTTCCATCAACGCTATATGTTTATCTATATCAGTTAATGTTTGTTTCTTAAGTGTGCTCTGTTTTGTTTTGTTCCCTCTACTTGTCTTCTCATCCGTCTGTGGCTGTGTTGGTGTGGCTGTTGTGAAAGTTTCGGTCTATCCAGGGATCCACATCTGCAGATGGGAAGACAACACTTGCAATTGGTTGAGCAACGCAATCAGAAGGACTGTGGCTGACGTGGGTTTGATGTTTTGTTTAAAAAGTTGCGTTTGTTTTTTGACTTTTGCCTTTTTGTTTAGCAAGTTATTTTCCTGGTTGGGATAATGAAAATAACTTTTCTAGGGTGTGGGAATTTCTAGTCGCCTGTTTCATCTATGAATTCCTCTCCATATATTTATTGATGCTGTAGAAATGGGAAAGCTGATCAGCTTCGTCTTGGAATGGTTGGACAAGGGACATTGTTTAGAAGCCTTTTGGTTATGATATGACAAAGGATTATGTATTCTGGTTTTATAATTAAGGCTTTTATCTGCATCTAAGAATACTGAAACATGGTCTAATTATAAAATGGAAAATTTTAAGTAGATTGGCCTTTCATGTATGCACGCTTACCTCTACAGATACTATGCAGAACATCTACTTCAAATATGATGGTATTATATAAACTGCATCCTTGGAGGTTCTGTCATTTCATTATTTATATTTATCAGTTTCTCAGTATATTTCATATACACCTGCAACTAATCTAGCTTTTACTTGTCAAAAGTGTGCAGATAGATTATTTTGGGCTTAAGATATGTACACCTTAATGACACTCACATTTGATATTTCTTCAAATCATTATAGTGAAAATTGGAGAGAAAATCTTGAATTCAAGATCATGTTTGCAGTACCTGTTGGGTAAACCAGCTAGCATATTCATGTGCAATAACTGATTTTTTCTATAATCACTTGTCAATTCTTTCACATACACCTAAAACTAATTTAGCAGTTACTATTTGGATGTTGAAATATTGAGCCAAGGTTGATTAGACTCTAGCTATCACGTTGTTTCACTTCTGTTTCGTTATGTATTGTTTACTTCTTTTAACTTTATTTCTTGCAGGTTCTGTAGCAACCTACTATATGTAGGGAAACATAACTGCAATGCCAACAAGTGCTGAAGAGCTTGATGTGATTAAATCTAAATACTCCCTCCGTTCCTTATTATAAGAGACGAATAACCGAATTACGTTGATCAAAAAAGCAGTTAAAATTAGTTAAGAACAATCAATATAATTTTTTTTCCAAAAATGCCCTCATTAATAAGGAGAGAGAGCATGAGAGAGAATAATTAAATTATTGAAAGAAAGAGAAGTGAGAGGGAGAGAGAATGTGAGTTGGAGACAATAAATATGGGTAAAATAGGAAATCAACACAAAAAAGTAGAGACAACTTTTAAGTGTCTCTTATATATAGGAACATGGCATAAGCATCAAATGTCTCTTATAATAAGGAACGGAGGGAGTAACTAACATGGACGTAGCAGAACTTCTCAGTTTCGTGTTCATAATTGGGAAGGTTCAAGTATTTTGAATTCTAGAATTGAGAATCATAGTTCACTTCCAGTAGAAACTATGGAGCATTTCGCAGGTCAATCAAATTATACTGAATGTGATATTCGTGTTGCACTGGTTTTAAGTGCAACGTTCTTGTTGGTGGCACAGCAAATACCAACTTATTTAATGAATCATTGTGGCAAAGGCCCATAGTTGTTGCAGTTATACACTATTCCAACAATCTGTCCTATCCCTGATCCACCCAGTGATTTTTATGTCGAGGAGGCATCAGTGAAGCAAGCAAGAAATGGCAGGTTTGTTAAATCAATGGTTCTTTTGCTTCCTTTAGTTCATATTCTGGATGCAAGATCAACATATTTGTTGAATTTTTGTTCTTCATTCTCTCTTTTTTTTCCTCTGCTCAGGTGTCATTTGGGTCGTAACACTTCTGTTTCTGAGAACAACTGTTATGTGGCCATGCAAAATCTTCAACCAGCAACCATTGTGGGATTTGAGTTCTGTTTTGTTCTGTGGTAAGTGTCCGTGTTTGCATTGAATCGGTATTATACTATTTCCTGAAGCATGGGCACCATTACTTGTTTCTCTTGACAATGCCAGAGCATGGAACCTAAAGAGCAGAAGACATGTATTGGTGGCGTACTATCTCAGTCTCTCAGACAAAGATAGATATCGAAGTCTCTTCAGAAGTGTCCAATCTTTCCAACCCATCACTTGATTAATTGTTTGTTGTCAAGTTGTTTATTCGAATTATAACATATTTTGACAGCAAGTCTTTGTCTTTTAATGATTGTTTTATGAATTTTACCTGCAGGTAGCAGAATCGGTCCTCTGCGGTCGTTTTTATACTTCCATTTTCACATCTAGCTAATAGCTTCCTTGCTATGCCTGAGAGTTTAGCATCTATCTTCTGATGTATTGGGGTTTCGGACATCTGTAGGATAGGGAAACTTGAAATGCAATACTTGCCACTGGGCCCATTTATACTCAAAGGGTATAACTTGTTTCTGATAAATTAGTTTTTTGGTCCAGATTTTCTTTTGGTTTGGCCCTGTTTTCTTTGTAACTGAAGCTGTTAATGGACTAAAAGATGAAGTAATGAGTTAACTGAATCTGGTAATTTCATCAATCTATCCTCATGTTGTGTTAGAATTATTTAGTTCTTGGTACATTCTGATCCATGTAGACTTGGCGCCCGTTCGGTTAAGCAATGAGAGCTCACGTAAACCCATTTCAATTCAAATAAGTGATTATGAAGCATATTTATCCTGTTTAGGTAACTTTTTTAAAATCCTGATCAATTGTGATTTCATTCTTCCACCGCAATTTTGAGATAAGCACCAAAAAGTAGAATATGCTTTTGAAAAATTTCAGTCAGTTTTTATCAACTGAATTTTCTCCAATTCATCTTCCTACACTTTTCTGAAAATCTCTCTGCAAATGATTATACTCTTCTGGTATTTAATATAAGATCCATTTAAACTAATTTAATTAGATTAAGGAAATTAGGTAAGTTAGTTAATTATAAGAAAAGTTACGCATTTTTCCTAAAACACCATAATCATCTTTTTTAATATCTCGTCTCTCTCTTCTACTTGATTATGGTTGAGGGAGTATCCATAGGGGTAATTTAAAGAAAACTGATAAATATAAAAAATGGGTCTTATATTTAGGACCAAAATTAATTCAAGAATTGGATCCTATATTAAGGACCGGAGGAGTATTTAATAATATTTATTAAATTCATGACTTTTTGGTAATTATACATTCATAAATGATTTTAATAAATAAAAGAAGACATAATCACAATTCTTAAGTCACTTATAAAAAAAAAATACATCCAAACATAAATCATGATTAACTAACTTCATTTATGACCAATATCACTCGTAAAATTCACTAATCCAAATGGGCAGTCAATTGATATAAAGGATGCATCCTTTGCCGATGCAAGTCCTGAAATCAACAGAATTTTTTTTTTCGGTTAGGAATAATAAATTTCTAAATTCCGCTGAACATCTCATATCCTTTCATTAAATCATTTAAATGTAACCTTGTAAAAAATGGTTCGTCGCAAGCGAGTGTGGACTGACTAATTTTGGAAATATCTGTTGGGGAAAACCGAGCTTGTAACGTGTGCTAACTCGTGGGCATGGGTTACAGCAAGCTGGGTTAAAGAAATCTTCCTTAAGTTGGGTTGGTTTTGCTGACCTGAGCCCAAACCCTCCAACCTCCCTTTTCTTTTTAAAAGTATATTTTGATTATTTTTAAATTTTTGAATCAAAGCAAAAAATTTTATAGAAAAAATTAAAATTATTTTTATATTTTCATAAAATTATATAATTAAATTAACTCAAAAAATGCAAATATAAACATAGAATCTATTTTACATAATTATTTTATCAATATAAAAACGATGAATCGAGTTTTTGACATAAATGATCAAGTGCAAACAATAATTTTTTTATTAGAATTAAAATATTTTTTTGAAAAAAAAATCCAACTAGTAATAATATAGATTTAAATATGTATGTAAATAATAATTTTTGTTTAACTTATTTCATGGTATTGAGAATTAGAAAATTTTTATCTAGGTTTTACAAAATATCAATGAAATATATCATTTATATATGTACTAGTTAACTCTGACAATATGAGAGCTAGATAATTAATTTGTAAAATATTAGAGAAACTATTTAAGTTATTTATTTGTAATAAATATGTATTTATTTTTCTAAAACATATATTTTGATCATATGAATTGTAACTACTTTTAATGGGAACTCTCTCACTATATAATTTATATAGATATTTTGAAAAAAAAAATTAAAAATTTAAAAAATAGAGTGAACTAAAATCTTATATTTAATAGCAAATCTTATACAGCTCTTATAACGAGAAGCCGTAGTAGCAGAACATAATTTCATATATCAGTCCTATGTACATGTAAGGTAAAAAGAAAATCGCAAAAAAAACCTTAAAAAAGAAAAATTACAAATAAGGACCAGTTACAATATTAGTATTAGCTTGATAACAATTGATAAGCAAATGACAACAATTTTGTGAGCTGGTCCATATATGTAGTTTTTCAATTTTTAGGTTTTTTTTTGGTAATTTTTCCTAAGGTAAATTACCGCTAAATTTAACGATGAAATTTAAAACTAGTTGCTCATACAGACCATGACTCACGACGTTTGGTGACGTATTGGCTAAACGTCAGGACAGCCGATGACCATTAAACGAAGACAATATTTAATGATAACCTAATGGGAAAATATAATAAAATGGTACTTCAATTTTAAAAATTTTAAATGGTAACTTTAATAAGAAAAATTTTATTTTAGTCACATACAATTAAATTGGAATTTTGAAATTTGTTTAAATGACAACATTTATAGCTGGAAATACGGGCCAACCCGCGGGTTGCGAGCCAGCCCGCCACAACCCCCGGGTTATGTGGTGCGAGCTGGAGCAGCCCGTATTTTGGCGGGCTAGAAAAGTCCCAACCCTAACCCGCCACAGCGGGTTGGCAGGCCAGCCTGTCAGCCCGTCATCTTTTTTTTTTTTAATTCTCAAATTTTAAATTTTATTTTTATTTAATTTTTTAAACTAATAAATGGTGATCCAAAATTTCAAAAGTAATCACAAGTATAAATTATATTTAACCACATTTAAGATAGTCAATATAAATATAAAACAATATATTACAAATATTTTACATGACTAACATTCAACATCAACTTATCAAACGATAAATTTTATAATTTTTTTATACAAATGTCATGTTTGATACAAAATACTATCTCTTAATAAATTAGAAGTGTATTTATCTAACTTTTTTTTTGAAGTTCATTCACCGTATTTTTTAAAATACTTTTTTGTAATAAATATTATCTTGTATTTGATTGTAGTTATTAAATTTTTGCTACAAATATGATATGCTTATTTTTTAAAAATATTTGTTGTTTACATATGTATTATGTAACATGAAAATTGAGATGTAAATGAGAGAAGAAAATTTTCAAATATAATAATATATTATTTATGTGAAAATTAAAAAAAAAAAAAAAAAAAGGTGGCGGGTTAGGCGGGCCAACCCGCCAACCCACGGACTAGCCCGCCACAGCCCGCGAGTTACGTGGTGTGGGCTAGAGCAGCCAGCATTTTGGCGGACTGGCAAAATGCCAACCCTAACCTGCTCTTTTATGGCGGGTTGGCAGGCTGGCCCGCGGGTCCCAACCTATATTCCCGGTTCTTTTATGGCGAGTTTTCAACATTGTCCTTATGTCATTTGTAAAAATATTTTGAAAGCAAGTTGTAAATTGTGTTAACAAACTTGTTAATGTTATTATAAGACTTGTCAACTATGTTACAAAAGTTGAAAATTTTTTAATTTACTCAGCACTCAAAAATCTCTTAAAGTTAAATTGTGTTATTAGAGTTGTTAGTATCGTTACAAAAGTTTTTAACTGTATTATTGAAATTAGAAAAATCTCACTTTCATAACTTCTTGAGAAACAAGTTGTTAATTACGTTACTAAACTATTAAGATTGTGTTTGAAAAGAAACTAAATCATGGTTTTAAAAGTAATTTTAAGGTATACGAAGTAAGTATAGCATCTCAGAGGAATTTTGTCTTTACTTGTATGACAGCACTTTTTAAAAGTTTTTTTTTTTGTGATTACCAAACACCTTAGAAAATAAGCTCAAAATCTTTGCCATATGCAAATGAAGGCCAAATAATTATCTATCCATTTAGTTATACTCCCTCCGCTCCTATATATAAGTTTCAAATAATAAAATCACGTTTAACGAACTAATAATTAAAATTAGTTAAAAATAATAGATAGGTTAGAAATGTATTTTTTTTCCAAATTTTGCCTTTATTTATTTTAAAGTAAATGAGATGCAATAAATGAAAAAAATGATGAAAGATAACATATGTGAGTAATATCAATGTGTGAGAGAGTATTAAATACAATCAAACTTATATTTTGGACTACACCCATCTCAAAAAATGAAGCTTATATATAGGATCAGAAAGAGTATCATTTATGTCTATTATTAAAGCAAATTTTGTCATGATTTGGACAAAGTTATGTTGATTTTCAATAATACGGTCAATAACTCTTGTAAAGATATTAACGATTCTAATAATATCATTTACCATATGATTTGAAAGATATTTTGATTTTGAGAGATTTCTAAATGCCTAATAAATTAGAAAATTTTTAATTTTTGTAACGTGGTTGACAATATTAATAAGTTTTGATAATACAAGTAATAACCTGTTTTCAAAATACTTCCATAGAACAACATATGGGCAATGTGATCATTTGAGTATATTTCAAAATTCATGTGTGTGACTCAAATAGAATCTTCTGAAGTGACCATTTGGGTTTTTCAAAATTAAAGATTGTTTTATTGTCATTTTCGCCTCTTATTCCTACTGAATATATATATGAATTGATGTTTTACAATAATGAATAAAATTATACAAATATTGACTTGAGTGATCTAAGAATTCTTTTGGAAAAGAAACATTAACAAAAGTAGTAACATTAATTAAAGTTAGTTCAATTTAATGGAAATATTTTATACATTGTGTGCTTGAAATGGACAATAACTTGAATTTATTAAATGGTCGACAGAACAATGTCCTGTCCACCGAATCTATACCCAAGTCCCCACTCTCCACACGCTGCATATGCTTTTGATAACGACAATATTACACGCCCACACGCACATTTTTTGGGGGGGGGGGGGGGGCGCTATTGCCGGCTGTCTATGTATGTAAATACATATATGCATGTTTATTTTGTCACCACTCATCGTATGATTAATATACCAGTCAGTTAGAAAGTTGAATTTAATTTTAAATATGAAGCCTCAAATAACGTTTTCTCATATTAATTATTTTTTTCAAATTAATTATAAATTGATATGGGTTAATATAATTTT